AATAAGATAAGTGGAATTAATTTGTTTTAGTTTTTTTGTTACTCTTAACAACTGACATTTTTCTGGGTGGAAAGACATGCTCCAATTTGATTCCCATTTCTGTAATTCATCTAATTCTCTTTGTAAAATATCTGTGTCTTGTTTTGTTTTTATTGTTCTATATATTATGCAATCGTCTGCAAATAATCTGACTTTTGTTCCTGAACTAATGCAATTTGGTAAATCATTTATGTAAATTAAAAATAGTAGTGGACCCAAAACTGTTCCTTGAGGTACACCTGAGTTTACTGTTATTGGTGTTGATTTAGAGCCATTTATTATTACAGTTTGTTCTCTCCCTATCAGAAAATCTTTAATCCACTGATGCAGTGGACCGTTAATGCCGAAATATTTTAATTTCTTAAGCAAACTATGGTGGTGAACTTTGTCAAAAGCCTTGGAAAAATCTAGTAAGATAGCATCTATTTGTTCACTATTATCTAAACCTTTTGAAAAATCATCAATTAGTCCTATTAGTTGTGTTTCACATGATCTATATTTCCTAAAGCCATGTTGGTATGGGGTGAGGACATTATGTTTGTCTAAGTGGTTTATGATATTGCTACATATTATGTGTTCTAGTATTTTACATGTGATGCTGGTAAGTGATACTGGTCTGTAGTTTCCTGGATCAGATTTTTCTCCTTTTTTAAATAGGGGGGTGACATTAGCTTCTTTCCAGTCCTTTGGTACTCTGCCCTGGTTAAGCGATGCTTGAAAGAGTATTTTGAACACTGGGGCTAGCTCATTGCTTAGTTCTTTGAGTAATCTAGCTGGAATACCATCAGGTCCAGACGCTTTATTTGGTTTGGTGTTGGCTAATAGTTTTTTAATTCCATTTTCTTGTACTACTAAATCTTCTATGTTGTCTACTTGGTTCAAATTAAGAAATATGTCTTTGTCTCCTGGGGCTGAGAATGCTGATGCAAAGTATTTGTTTAGGATGTTTGCTTTAGTTTCATTATCATTATGTATTATGTTATGTTCATCTTTTAATGGCGCTATGCCTGTTGTTTCCATTTTCTTAGACTTAATGTATGACCATAGGTTTTTGTTGTTATCTTTAGATATTACATTGTTGATGTATTCACTCTGCAGCTGTCTGCTTACTTTTTGGGTTAGGTGTTTAATTTTTATATACTTTTTGTAAACTCTTTCTGCCTTGGTTGCTTTAAATTTTCTATATAGGTTTTCCTTCTGTTTACAAAGCTTCTTTAGTCTATTATTAAACCAGCATTTATTTATTTTGTTTGATGTGTATTTAGTTGGTATATGATTTTCTATAATGCTTTTAAGATGGTTTTTAATGAAATTCCAGAGGTCATCGACTGGTTGGTTAATGTCTTTTTCTAATAAGAATGTTTGTTGAAAGTTTAATGCAGCTTGGTGTAGTTGTGTTAGGTTACATTTATTCCAGAGTAAGATTTTTCTTTTGGTTTTTGTATTGGCTACTGCTTTTATCTGACTGTGTATTTTTATGATCTCATGGTCTGATAGACCAGGGATAATATCATAATCAACTACTAATCCAGGTCTGTTGGTTAAGAAGAGATCTAATGTGTTGTTTAATCTAGTTGGCTTTTTAATGATTTGATCTAAACTTAGGTTGTGTAAAGTTTCTATGAAAAGCTCATTTATGTCCTTAAGGTTTTGGTGTTTATCTATGGTTAGTGTTTTCCAATTTATATCAGGTAGGTTGAAGTCACCCATAATCCAAAAAACTGCATTTTTATTTGTCTCTTTAAGTGTAGTAATCTGATTACATAGTTCCTGCATGTATTCTAAACTAGAATTTGGTGGTCTGTAAATGCTGCCTATTATAAGGGATGTTGAGGTGGTATTAATTTTACAAAATGTAGATTCTATGTTTTTTGAGCTAGGTAAGGTAATTTCTTCTGCTATAAGAGTGTTTTTTATTGCTAAAAGAACTCCTCCATGATTATCAGCCCTATCTTTTCTAAAAATTTCATAATTACTATTGAAAATTTCTGCATTATAAATTTCAGGATGTAGCCAAGTTTCTGTTCCTGCAATTATGTCTGGTTTCTCACATTCTAATAAAATTTCTAAGTCTGCTGTTTTGTTCCTAATGCTTTGAAAATTTATTACTAAGGTTTTAAGGTATTTTGGTATTACTTCTTTGGTAGGTTTGTTTAGTGAGGCTGTTGTATTAATTTTAGTAGATTTAGGTTTAACAGGAGTGGATCTGGCTAGTGGTTGGTGAGTTGGTTTTGGGATGGTGTTTAGGATGTTGAATGGGTTAGAAGTGTCCGCATCAAAGGAATCAAACAGTCCTGATGTAAACTGAGGTAACCCACACGGTACACAGTGCCATGATGCATCTTTGTTGCCTAAGGCATAATACACAGGTGTATTCATATGGAGACATGATGCATGGTACCATTCATCGCAGGTGTCACATTGAATGGCTTTCTGTTTCATGGTGCATACTTTTTTGCAGATGTTGCATCTATCTTTAGATCTAGGCCCTGGATTTGACTCTACATCCCCTGCTATTAATATTAACAGTGAAAGGTATTTATTTCTACTGTGTCTGATTGAGAACTTCCATTTGTGATGGGTAATCTTCTTTAATGTTATGGATGTGTATGTTAGGTTATTTTTTAAGTTGCATTGATCTAAAGTGTGATGATTGATTATGACTGTTGTTTCCTTTTTAAGTTTAGTGTTGACTGAGGTAGATCTAGTTCTGTGTTCAGCTAGTGTGTATTTAGTAATTATTAGGATAAACAGCCAGAGCAATTTCATGATGACTGTTGTTGATTTTAGTTTTAAAAGGTCTAGTCTAAATCTAGTTTAAGGTTAAAAATGCCTAAGATGGCCTAAGCTAAGTCTAAGGTGATAGCTAATTTACAATGACAATCAAATGGTTTATTCAAAATATAGACCTAGACTAGATCCAGATCTAATTCTAGATCTAGATCTAATGGTAGATCAATATATTTATGTGTTTAACTAACTTTAACTAACTATATAGAGTATTACTATTAGTTTATAATTAGTAGTATTTGTAGATGGTTAGTAGATCTAAGGCCTTAATTAAAGTCTAAGTCTAAGACTGACTAGATCCAAAAATATAAAAATAAATATAGACTAAATAATATTAAATATAATTATAAGGATTAGTTGATTAGTAAGACAAAATAGTCCTAAACTTAGAGTTGTTAATTTGAATTAATTAGTGGAAATAATGCTGAATTAAGTTAAATCTATAATTTAAAGATATTAGTTTATTAGTTGAATAGCTTTTTAAAGGAATTTTATTTGGTTTATATACGACAAAACGAAAATTTAACTCATCTATGATAACTGTAAACAGGGAGCAGCCATCTTGTCAAGAGCGCGTAACTCTCGTTTGCCCAAACCCACCCCATTTGGACAACTGTGTCTTTCAGGAAGTGTTCACCCGTCACTAAATAGCGGCGTATGCTAAGCCGCGGGTCAGCTAGTTAGAATATGCATCCTTTATTTGGGACCCCTCAACCCAAAAAAGAAAGAAACTAGAACAGGCGCAAAATAGAGCAATGAGATTTATAACAAATGAATGAATGACTAGAGTAACACCACTAGTAAAATCACTAAATTTAGAGACGCTTTAGGACAAAGACTCAAAAGTAAAGTAGCAAAAATACATAAAACATACCTGCTTAAAATAAAAATACTCAGAACTACACAAAGAGAGAAGAAATTGCTACAAGTGCTCCTTCTGTCCTAGTGCCATTAGATCATGGGATGGGTTGCCTGAATCAGTCAGGAAAACTAACAACTTAGCAAAGTTGAAGTCAATAATTAATATACATGACTGGAATGACATGGATATACATAGGTCATAATTATCATTTCTTTTATAGTAACGTCTGTAATTTATAAGATAAGTCCTACAATTTTAGAATTACTGATAGATTTCAATTTTATCTTCTTTTAAAACTATTACTTATAAAATAGTTTAATCTAGATGTGCATATGTTTTGGCATGAAAAATTTGCTTTACTCACTAGTGTAAGTTCAAATATTGTTCAGAGCCCTAAATGAATAAATGTTAGAACGTAATAATTTTTAAAAATAATAATTTCGATAGTGGGTTAATCTATTTATTTTTTGTTGTCATGTTAAGTTTTTACTTCTCTTGACTCAAAAACAGTACATCATAAAAGAGAAAAAATATTTTGAAATTGTATCCTTAACAAAAAGTCTATATTAATACATCATCATCATCTGACACTTGACTTTCATCGTAGTAGGGTGCTGTGATAGTTTGCATACCCAAATTCCTCCACTTTTCTTAGCACGATATCAAGAGTCCATTCTTTTACGTTGTCTAGACCACATTTTCTGCATTCTCCCTCCACTAAGCCTTGAAGGATGACTTTGATAGAAAAGAGATGAAAAGTCAATTAAACCTAATATAATTTGAACATATTGATTATTTAAATTAATAACAGGGTGAGATGATTTCAATACAAAACTGATGTTACATATTTCATGACTTATTGAAAATTGGTGTGACTAACAGCCTTCTGTAATGGCAAAAATTTATTTTAAAAGATAATATAAGAGCATTTCTATACAGCACTAGAAAGTAGGTTACATGATGATTTTCTTTCGATACTTATAAATCGAGTTATAAATAGAGTAAGATGAAGACTGTGTCTTAAATGTATTGTGATCACTCATTTTCTTCTACACCAATATTTACCAACAGTTAAAATATGTGTTTATATAAGCATATAACTGTCAGACTATAAGGATATGATAAGACCTAGATCAGTTTTTTCACAGTAAAAATTATAGCATGATGTTCTTCAATAAGTGTCCAGTTGCAGACTTAAAAAAGGTTCAGGTCACTGAAAAAAAAAGTTATGTTTACATCGTCTGTTAGAGGAATGGGACAACATGAAAAATAAATTTACTTACTGAAATAAATGTAACAAAAAAAAAAAGTAAAATGCATCAAATGTACTTTATTCAGTCTTATTAAAAAAGAAACTTGTACAAATTAAATTAGTCACAGAAGCTGCACTAACCTCCGATACTGATATGGACATATCGCAATATTATTGCTACTAAAACAAAGCACAATAGCTATGATGTCACAACAATTTTTTTTACTGATATTTAGTTTTGTTTGATGTCAACATTGAGAAAAAATATACAATAAGCGATAAATGAGATTCAGTGGCTAATAAAATATACACTGTAAAGTCTTATACACATTTTAAATAACACAAGCTAAAACAAAATGTATTTCTCTCACACTGAAACTAAAAAAAAGTATCACAACACTTTATAATAGCTTCACAAAGTTAGAGGCAAGGTTAATCTGAGAAAAAAAATCTCTCAAGAAAAGATATATAAATCAGGCAAAAAAAAAAAAAAAAAAAGATAAATACAATTTAAAAAATGTAAGTTGCTGTTTTTGAATGTAAGTCTCACGTGATATCACAATTAAATTTTAAAAAAAAAATAGTTAAAATGTCTAGCAGCAGTGGTTCTTAGTCTTCAATGACGCAAAAAGCACTAATACATTTTTCAACTGTACCTAGTAGTACTAAAAGGTCATCAAAGAAAATCATGCTGTTTGCGCATTGAATGTCTTTAATTTCATCAACTGTACAGGTGAAATGATTCAGGTTATGTAGCTTAAAAAATGAAAAGCTAAGACTACATATTAACTACCTATTTTGTCAATGTATATGAGTATAAATCAACAAAGAATTCTGGAAAATCATTTGTAAAACAACGAAATAAAACTTCAAATGCATGTTTCATCATATGAACATTACTACTTGTTTTTGACAGAGTTAAATGAAAACACTGCAGATTTCATCTAAGTAAGACTCTGTATTACTCTGTTTTGTTTTAGTTTTTCCAATCGACTGGCTAACTGTTTCTCTACTTTATCTGGAAGTGTGGGATTGGTGAAATATTCTGAAATAGTACCAAAAAAAAAAGAAAGAATAAAACAATACATTTAAGAAAAAAAAAATATATATATATCTTTTATTTGTCTAAGGTAAGAAAGGTACCTTTTTCAGACCTTGTGATCTATGGGGGCAGATGATGTATAACTCATCTGTTTTTTACAGCTGACATTTAACAAGGGTGTCATGTGGGTAGCACAATGACCAAAAACCTTTTCTTACCCAAGATATATCAGGTAGCCCCTTGAGTACAGTGGACGCATAAGCATCCTAAAGACACCAAAGTTCAAATCCCAGTCTTCACAGGGATTCAAACTCTAGTGTGTAGGCTGGACAAGAGGTCAAGGATGTCTACTTAATATCAGGTTACATCACAAAAAAGGCAGAAAAAATGTCTAGGTGAAGGTTGTCAGAGAGAATATTCTGGGGACAAGGATATATATTTAAGGAGCCATGAAGGTGCTAATCAAGTTAGTTGGAGTTAGTTGGTCAATAATTGTATAAGCTTGCTTGTTTTTTTTTTATCATCATTATTATTAATGTTCCTGTATCAACATTGTATAAACGCTGTATCTACACTTCGTAATTGTTTCAAGTTAGAGTTTGGTCATTTCATTTTTTACTACAAGTCATGATTGATTTGTATTAACAGCACCACAGAATCCACACATCAGATGATTGTGGCGAAAATGCAACACAGCTCTCTTTTGAAATGCAATTGTGACAACAAAATGGACAACTTTAAGAGTCAGTATGGCAAAATAAAATGTCTGCTGTTATGGTTAATACATTTTATCAATATTTGTAGCTAAATTAATAAAAATAAGATTCTTTAGTAATTGAGAATTTAAGTGACTATATTTGAATTGTAGGACCAATAGAACCAAGCAGATCAGTTTATGATTTTAAATAAAGATTTTATCTGAATAGCACAACTATAACAGTTTATGCTTTTACCTACAGACTCAATTAAGTATGCATTTCAACTGGGTGTACTCAATAAAGTTAACCTTTGAAAGTTTTAAATGTGGATGTAAGGCAAAAGTTTAATGAGGATGCCATGTGTACAACACAATAACCAATAAAATTTATTTATTTCCAGGAAAAATCATTGAGCTTCCATTCTTTTTTTTTAAGGGACATCCTGGAATACCAAATTTATTTTTTAAAAAATTTTTTAAAAAATTCTAGCCTCCTTTGGCAATTAAACCTAAAAAACTAGGTTTGATAGTTAAGTTATTTGCCATTCAGCCGTCTTAAGAATAATGCTAAGATTTTTAAAAATATAAGAAATTATATATCTAACCTGCAGCAAATTCTCTAATGCTTTCTGGACGTTTCATAAGAACATCGCTAAAAATAATAAAAAAGTTTTAGGATTAATTTTTGTAATTATTTTATTACTTACTAATTGTTATTCAATTATTTGATTCTAAAAAAAAAAAAAAGAAAACAATGCAAATACAAAAAAAATATATAAAACAAAATAGTTAAAAAAAACTTGTAATATGTTCAGATATTTTGTGAGAAAAGAAAAATATCATTTTCTAGTCTTAATTTCCAAAAGAAATGCAACGCATGAGAATTCATATGGCTTCACCTTGAAATTAATGTGATGACAGTTTAAAGAGCATTTTACATTACCAGGCAATCCTATATCACTTAAAGGCAATAGATATTCACACTTCATAGGACTGTCTCAACTAGTTCAAATTCTTGTTTGATAAAAATAACAATGAACATATTGTAGACTCAGACAGAATATTAGAAAAACTTAAAAATAACTCAAATTTTATGAATCTGTTTAATATAATATCTTGTTTTTCTTACCACATTTATTGTTCCTATTTTCATTTGATAATGTTAGCTAGTTTGCTTAAACATTTTGCAAAATATGATTCAACAAAAATCTGTGTATTCCAAGATAACCTAATTTTTTAAAAAAAATTTGGACTAAATTTTACTTAACAGTTAAACTATCCATATTGTTCATGTGTTGCATTAAACATTCTCTCTAAAAAGACATTTACCATATGCCAAAATGAATTAAAAACTGACTATCTAGTAATACCTCAAAAACCCAGCAATTAAACATTCAACTTCAGGATGTTCTCTTAAATATTTTTCATTCCCAATTCTAGTTTTTATCTGAAATGAAACAAAAAATATCAATGGTTATTATTTTATGGGTCACAGTGTTCTTTGAAAGCCAGAAGCTGTAATGTGTTTTCTATGCCAGAAGGTAAAAAACATTTTTGTTTTTTTCAATGCTCTCTAAAACAACTAAATCTTAGTCTTCAGGCTTCTTATAAGCTGATTAAATTATCATTAATTAATTACAGATGATAGTTTTAGCCCCACTGTATTTGGGGTATCTCAGTATATATAGCTAGGGAAAAAAACAGAAGTGCGTAAGAAATAAATTACAGACAAATTAAAGATTGCATTTTTTTGTGTTTGTTCACACAGGTAGCACTTGGAAATAGATTATACTTCATGAATGAAATGTAAGGGGTTTTAAAGAGGTGTTATCAACTAATTTAGACAATGGCCTATATCTATATGATGCCTAATGAGGATTTTTTTTTAAAAGTTAATTACATTTTTTAAATTTATTATGAAAAATAACCTTTTTTTGTTTTTACTAATTTAGAGGCCGGGAAAAAACTTCAAACATTAATTTTTTTCACTATAAGATATTATGCCTGGCCATAATTCTACCAAGTGTTATCGAGATATATTTGCAGTTTGTTTACAAAGTTGAAAATACAGTTAACATTGAGCCCTATGACAATTTACAGTTTTTGAGATAGTCTATATAAAAAATTTGCTTTAAAAAAAAAAGAATGTCAGGCCTAATATTCTGCATATATAGTGGTTTTTTTTAAATAAACAAGCTCGCATGAGTCTAACTGCACATTTTCAAAAAATTGTTTTAAACTATTTTGATCACAATTTTTTTAATTTTTTGTTATGTTTGCCATTTTGCCCACACCCCTCTGACATTTTTTGTAGCTCAAGACCTGATAATTTGTTAATTTCCTTCAATATTTACACTCTTAACAAGTTCATAAATATTAATGAAATCAGCTTTGTGAGCTAGAAATTTAATACAAATACTAATACTAGATTTACTACTAAATTTCTTATTTAATAAGTAGATCTATCATTATGAAACTCAACTTGAACTTATGACCTGGGGGTGTGTCTTGCCTAGCCTAGCCCTGATTAGCCAGTGACAAAATCTCCTCATGCATTCCATTGGGCTCAATGTTAGGTAAAAACGTGACCAAAAAAAACATAACTTTCAAACTGTCATCATTTATTCATCATTGGAAAGAAAGATCTAATGAAGTACTTTAATGAAGAAAAAAAATTTTTTCCCCTCCCTATAGATCTACTATAGACACTGTCTTATACTTTGTTTATTGTTTTCAATCTATAGTCATTTTCATCTAATGAACACCCCTGATTTTCTGATTACACACCCTACAATATTAGTTAAAATTATCCTTTATTTTGATAGTTATGACAATGCTAGCGTATTGTTTTTGTTCATACTCCATTTCTTTACAGTTCAGACATATTTAGTTTTTTAATTACTCTGACAAACAAGGATTTTACTTGGGTTCAAAGAGCACTGGTATGATGATGTCACTTTTTTTCTTCTAGGACAGAAGGAGGGTAGGTCAGGGGTTAAGGAGTTTTTTTTAGAAAATTTAGCTATCTTCTAAACAAAAAAAAGTAAAGTTTTTCTTTCAGACCTTGCGATCTATGGCACAGATGATGTTAAGGTCATCTGTTTCCATGGCCAACAGTTAACGAGCAGGGTGTCATGTGGCCAGCACAACGACCAACTGCCTTTACTTTCCCCAACTAAAGTCAGGTACCCATTAGAGTAGGGTGGACTCAGGGGCGCCCTAAAAATTGCGAAATTCAAAATCCCAGTCTTCACCAATATTCAAACCCAGGACCCCAGGTTCGGAAGCTGAGCGCTTAACCACTCAGCCACTACACCCCCATCTGCTAAACATGGCATATCTAAAATGCTTCTAAATAGGCCCAAAAACACATACATGTCATAATCATGAATCATCATGCATTAGATAGATTAGATCATTAGGTAGTAGGTTGATAGATTACATTAATAATTTGAAGGAAATGTATCTTGATCTAATCTAATAATTAAGTAAGTCACTCTTGTCCTTAAGGACATAAATGAGCTTTTCATAGAAACTTTACACAACCTAAGTTTAGATCAAATCATTAAAAAGCCAACTAGATTAAACAACACATTAGATCTCTTCTTAACCAACAGACCTGGATTAGTAGTTGATTATGATATTATCCCTGGTCTATCAGACCATGAGATCATAAAAATACACAGTCAGATAAAAGCAGTAGCCAATACAAAAACCAAAAGAAAAATCTTACTCTGGAATAAATGTAACCTAACACAA